CTTGGTGGTGGTAGGCAGGTGCTTCGTCGGTGGAGTCGGGGATGGTTGCTTGGGCGTCGGCTGTTGCGTGGTCGAGTCTCCCTGGGTCTGTTGGCTGTTGTTACGCCGGCGTCGACGTCGAACGACGTAAGGGACTTGATAGCGGTTTGGGCATGTGTGGTCGCCCGTATTGTGGGCCTGGCCGCACAACGCACACTCGGGTGTCACACACTCATGGTCACGTCCGGTGGGTTTGATACCAAAGTGTTCACAGACTTTCTCAGATGGGGTAGGGCAGACATCTTGTCGATGCCCGACGCGGCCGCAGTTGCGACAGGTGTCGATCTGTCGCTTGTAGAGCGTGCAACGCAGCAGGAGCATGCCACAGCGCACATAGTTGGGGACTTTAAGTCCATCGAAGAGAAGGATGATGGTTGTTATATCCTTGATTCTTCGTACCCCCATTAACGTGGGGTTATGTCATGAGACGAACAGGCGTTGTAGCTCTGAGTCTGAGAGGTCAGCGCCGACCCCTCGGACTACGCCTCGGCTGGTGGTGCCAGACGCCACTACGTAAACGGATACTGGATGTTCTCGCTCGATAAGAATAATTCCTCGCACTTTGGCGTACGCTTCGGCCGTTTGTAGGTTCGGCGTGCTGATCACAAAGATATTCTGTGTGTCCTTAGTGCAAACAATATCTTCCTCTGCCGCCGCTGGCGGGAGTCGTGCAGCGAGTACTAGAGCTTGCAAGAACTTAAGCTTGTTGCACCTACGTACATCCAGGCCACCTCCGGGGCGGACGATGAGACGGTGGTGATCCGTTGGGAGCGGGGAGAGTCGGCTGGCGGCTGCAGCCCTCGTCACAGCTCCGGTTCGCCGGGCGCCAATGCGGGAGCCGGCTGGCTTGCTGGTGGTAGTAGTTGAAGACCTTGCTCGACGTCGGATTGCGTCGATCCAGCCAGGCGCACTGGCTTCCTCTTCAGTGATCGTTTCTTCATCCACCATGGCTTCGGGCATGATGACGGCGCAGGGGCGGGACGCGCCAGCACAGGGGTCCAAAGCCGTGTTGGGCCTACTCGAGGCTTAGCGAGTGAAGGCAAAACGCTGGTTGGAAAGGCCGAAAAGTGGGGTGGCCCGGGCCAAAATCGGCATCCGGGTGTTTCCCTAAACTTAGCTAAAACGTTGGTGAAAAATTAGGGATGATTGGACTCAGTAGACCAGCAAGAAGTATAGCAGAAGGCGGATCCGATGCGTAGGCGTCCGCTCATCTCGATGCTTCCTAGCGGTCTCCGCTTTGAAGGTCCTCAAGACAGACTATCGCCTTTTAAAAAATGGAAACGCATTGCCGCCCTAATTGCGAGACAGACGGTGCGATTTTCCGTGAAATGCGGCATTTGATGCGACTATACGGCAGCTAGAGTGGGGACGTTTCATGACGTTTCGTGACGTATCATCGCATCGAACTGCCGCGTAGCCGGAGCGGTGAACGTCCAAGTGGCCAGATATTTTCATCGCCACATCGCACCACTGCATGGCAGCAGCCAATCAAAGCGCAAGCGGACAAGTGGCGTCACGCCGCTAGTGGCACCATCTCCCTGTCACCGCTCCCACCACCCATGGTCCAGGACAATTCAAACGAGTCGATGGAGGGGTGCGAGCTTGGATTCGCTGACGTCGCCGACTGTGGCGGTGTGACAAACATCGAGTACATTTGCTTCGTGACGTGATAATATTGCGGATTTAATAAAGCTAAGTTTGAAGTGTGCCATTTCTGCACGACAACGCCCGTTTTGAAATGATTAACGAGATTGGAGATCGTGAGCAGTGATGCAAGGTCATTTCACAGGTAAACACGACTACCGGCGTCTCTGCGCTGGCTCGCTTCGCTTTTACCTTTGCTCTTCACATCGATGGCACCGAGAAAGTGATATTGTATGCTAACGCATTACATACCAGTGAAAAGTTTAATAGTGTAGTGAAGAAGAAGCGCTTGATGACGAGCTCGCGTGTCGACGGCTATCGGCTAGGCGATGGCTATCGCCCGCCATGCTAGGCCTACGTGACTTTGAAAAGGGGAATAGGAAAAAATAATTGAAGTTCCGTTACTGCCTCTCTCAATGGAGGGCACCTCCATGGTTCTGCACGGGGAATGGAGGAATGGGAATTAAAGAGGCAGAAGAAAGGAGTAAGAGATTGTAGTGAAAAGCATTCGATCAGTCGCCACACGCACGCGTGTAAGAAATGGGTCTTCAATCTGCGTTGCGTGGGTTGCTCTTGCGTTCGAAGGATCAGCAAAGTTTGAGAACGGGGTCAAAGGCAGGTCGCGTGGAGTCAAACACTCGGGGCGCCACTTGTGGCTAAATAAAAAATTATGTAAGACGTGGGCTATACAGCACCATGGCTCGAGCAGCGTCTGCTTTGTCTTTCTGGCGACACAAGACGCGGGTCTTGAGTCAACGCAAACCGAAGAGCCCATGATTGGCTTGGGCTCTGCGCATGCGCCCTGGCCCGTTGGAAGCTTCCTGGGTCCCCAAGCTCCTTGAAGCCCCAATTCTCACACTCTCTATTGATAAGTATGACCCTAAGGGGCAAGAAGAGCGCAAAGTGTATCGGGGAACAAATGGGTGTAATGGATATGGATGGATATGTGGGATTTAACGTCCCAAAACCACCATATGATTATGAGAGACGCCGTAGTGGAGGGCTCCGGAAAGTTTGACCACCTGGGGTTCTTTAACGTGCACCCAAATCTGAGCACACGGGCCTACAACATTTCCGCCTCCATCGGAAATGCAGCCGCCGCAGCCGGGATTTGAACCCGCGCCCTGCGGGTCAGCAGCCGAGTACCTTAGCCACTAGACCACCGCGGCGGGGCAAATGGGTGTTAAGGACATCATAATCGAAAGCAAGAAGGTCATGGGCTGGCCACGTCGCGCGAAGGCAAGATGGCCGGTAGTCAATAAGGATCACAGACTGCATTACAAGGGAAGGCAATCGGGTTAGGTGGGCAGATGAGATTAGGAAGTTTGCAGGTATAAAGTAGCAGCAGCCAGCACAGGGTCTAGTTGGCTGGCAGAACATAAGAGCCGCCTTTGTACTGCAGTGGGCGTAGTAAGACTGATGATGTCGTTGATATATTACACATAATTGTGACCGAGCAGTATAAAACACATACAGGGAGAAACTCTTTATGCTACTCGGCGACCGCAACATAGACGTTATGGACTTCAAGAGCTAGCTCTATCGCCGGCTCTTTGTGCCAGTTTATGTTATCTTATCTTCCTCAGTTGATAATAAATGAGGCGACAATCGGGTCACGTATGGTTACACACACATACTATACCAGGAGCTTCCCTCACTCGCCATGATTCACTTCGTGAAGATGCGTGAATATTTTATAGTATTAACACTTCCACTCCGAAATGAAGCATCCTGTGATGCTGGTAGGAACCACAGACGCAGTGAGGCTCCATATCACCTTTTATGTATGACAATTTGAGTATCCTTTTCGGCGTTTCATTTTGCGCCATAATTACAATAATATATTTTAGCTACCACTCTGTTCTTTACGCCATGAACAGCAATAGTGTGACGTAATACTCTTTTTTCCAGAAAAAGGTGATACAATATAAAGAAGCAGACATACGGTACAAAACAGGCTTCAGGGCATAAGGACATACAACTTTTCATCAGGAAGCGCCAATATTGCCTTGCGCTTTAGAATATTTGCACAGGTGAAGCAATCACAGGAACTGTGAATCATAAGCCCTTCTAAGGCTAATAATCTGGAGTCTCAGTTTTACCCTTATTCGCAATGATCAACTGTTCCAGAAGGACAATGTCTGCTTAGATAAAGCAACAATCCAAAGATGATGAATAAAAACCATGTTAGTAGCTATCGTGGCAGAAACACGTCTCTGTCTCCTTTATCGGCAGGACTAGGTGTTATGCGTCAGTGGATTAAAAAAAGCAATAAATAGTCGTGCGTGTGAGATTTATACGTGCCAAGTTTACGGCTTCTATTGCACTATGCTGTCGTGACTCTCAAGAGGTGTTTGTCGCAGGCATTAAAGAAGTGGGATTTCCATTTATTGGCAATGCAGACATGCCACTTTTAATTGTACATTCCATTCCTTGATTACTAAACCGGACAAACTGAGCATGACGATGCGCCTCAATTCATACCGAGAGGCCCCTTGAGAGTGGCACTTTTAATTGCCCAGCCCAGAGAAACATAAACGTCAATTGCAACGCTGCTGCGTAAAGTAGATCCGCTTCTGAGCAGGCTATCGAACAGGACACGTGGCCACTTTACCACCGGTCGTTCCTGGCTTTTTTACAAGCGCGATAACTAAACCTAGGAAGCTGAGTTAACTTTCAAAGTGCGTTGCGCGTGTTACTACGTCACTGGTGAGCCCCACGTGGCGTCAGGCCGGTACACGGTCCGCGTTACGCATCAGGACACGTATTGCTTCAGAGCGAGTCTCTACAATAAAAATAAATAGAGGGTCCTGTAAAGGCGGGTGCATCACTAGGGGTGTCTCCGGAAGGCGAATTGCCGCTCGGCCGTAAACAAATGTATCCAGTGTCTGGCGTTCTCTCCTAAAGACCGCCCTTTTCTTGCGGACAGACGGCTCAAGTGGCGCAGCAACCTTTTCGGCGCCACTCTGTTCCCCAAACACGTACACTTTCAAGCTGCAAAAGAGACATAAAACAAGAATTAAAAAGAGCGCAATGCATTAGGAATGCAGGCAGTCACGCTAGCGCTAGGGGGAACCGTCGACGTGTGGCTAAGAGCGATGTAAGGAGAGAGACATTAAAACCGGGAATGTTACGCGGGGACACGTGAACCCGGGGAAAGAGTTTCTTTCTGTGAAGCCACTGCAGAGACTCTATCTCCAAGGGCGTTCCGTGCCTGACGGTCGAGTGGTGAAACACGGCCGCGGGCGAGGAGGGAGGGAAGCCACCAGATGGCATACATAGGCCGCCGAACTCCGCGTCATGAAACGACCGATTGAACGCGTCGGTAGCGCACGAACCATCACTGAAAACATGGAAGTCAGCGTTTGCCTCGTCGCCGTCATGATCACCTTACCCCTGGTGGCCGGCAACGGTGAGCTGATGCCTCTATCTTGTCGCGTTTTGAGAAACACGTCTCTAAAGTATGTAAACTGTCTCAGTCTATTTCCGATGCCTCCAAATCGCGTGACACAAAATGAAGAGCATTCATGCCGCAATCAGTTGCCAGCAGGCCTTCGCTTCTGTTTGAAATAGAGCTGGTAGGATACGCATGTACTTAATATCACAGAGTCTCACTTTTGGATGCACTTTCAGGTATTGTATTTCGTTGATAATTTTAGCAGTTGCGGCAGCGGCGTAGTGTATTTGTTGGAAGCATTGCGATTAGCAAGGTCTCAAATAGTTTCGCCGTTATCTTAGCAATGCTAGCAAATTAGATATTACAAGGAGACTCTACAACTCGTACAAAAAATGTGGCAAAGAATACTCGTCTAGCCTCTCGGTGAATAATTACACTAAAGGCATGCTAAATACGTTGAATTCTTTCAGAAAAGCAAGTGCCCAAAAGTACTATGCGCATGCCACTGTATAGAACCTTGCAATTCATTGCCGAATTGTCTTCTAATTGTCTTCACGTCAATATTGAATTCAATATACTGGTTTAAAGCGACTGCGATTAAAGATGTTCATTACTCGTGGTGCACCGCGTGGGGCAGGAGCTCGGCAAATTTTCTTTCGTCGTCCATTCGAAAACGAACTGGGCATTCCACGACCGCAGCAGTACACATCGATAACACCTTTAAATAGTTAACGGTGTACATTTTGCGTATGCTGCTGTGTCATGTCCTTTAATAGGTCTATGTTCTATGGCTTCAATGTTGCCTGTTTGCCTGCCTTGGCGTTCTCATATAAATGCGCAATTGCTTTGTACAATGCCCCGTACCCGCTTTGTACGTGCTGCTCATTTCCTTCCATTTCTTTTAATTATATGCTTACTTTTGAGACAGCCTACGCACGAAATCCAAGCTATTGCTTCTAAAAAGTGGGGCTAATGATTGGCATTTTTAATACCATTTCAAGTATGACAAAGCATTTCAGAAACAGCATTTTCTCTTACTTTCTTCGCAAAATTTATTCGTAGAAAAATTGTGTAATTTTGTTTCAAAACCATACCTAATGTAAGACTCTCTGGAGTATTTAGGGTAAATAAACGAATTAAATGAATTGAATGGAAATGGGCGAGTCTTCCATGGAGCCTTTGCTGAGATATACAATATATTTTTGCGGTATTTTTTAAAACAGATCAGGAAATCGTTAATCTGTGTCTAATATTGAAATGCAGCGAGAGATGCACAGCGGCTGTTGCAGGCTATGCATACAATATTTTGCAAGCTCTCCAAGTTCGTTTCTTGGAAGGCGCAGTATTTAGACGACTGACACGTTTGAAGTAGGAGTATATCAGACATTGAAGTTAACAGTATGGTCCACGCGAGCGCTATGTTTATTCTTTGAATTTCAATCACACCATTCAAAAAGGTGCGTAGAGGATTTCCAATGCCTGAGGAGTTTTCAATCGGATTGTCTGGCGACGATGGTTTCTGTTCCTGTTGAATAAAATCGGTTTCCCTTAACACAGACTAATTCATGAATAGCACGTAGGCAGAGGTCAAAGGGCGTCATGTCATTCCCGCGAAGAATTTCGCCCTTGGGCATAACTATCACAGATGGCAGGATGATAGTTCCTCATTCTCTGGGCAACCTTTTGAGCACTGAACTGAGTGCATTAAGTGTGTAAGTGGCGTCACTGCTGAAAAGTAGGGCCACTTCTTCAAGGTATTGATTAAATTTAATTCGGATCGAAGGAAACTTTCCACGTGCTGCCGGACGTTTGATCCGTGTGCTTGATGTGCTGGCAACTGAATGTATTAGCGCAACTCCTCGAATAAAATTGATTCGCGGAATTGCGGACATGTCACAGAAGTGACCGTCTGTTCTTACGTCACCAACTTGGCGAAGTGCACGTAAGTGTAGGTGACAGAAGTTGTACTAGCACTATTATGCGTACGCACATATGACCATGCCACACCACCTATATTGCTACTGTTCTCCATTATGTTGCTAGTAATACCAGGAAAAAAAACTAACGTCTGTAACAGGACCACAAGAACCGAATGTGGAATTCCACGTTTTACTAGCGGTATGTTAGAGAATATTTTAAAAAATAGCACTCGTCAAAGATTGCTTGGGAGTGAAGGTGTACCATTTCGAATGACCTACTTTCTGTGTACGTACCAATCCTTTCTCGTAATAACGAGATTCGTAAGGTGGACTGACGAGTTTATAAATATATATTTTAATCTAGAGTACCGGCTGTGTGGCACGGCACCGACTAGAGAAAACCATTACGCGGATGGTGCCACGTCGTCTTCGGAAGTGTCACCAGTGCGCTGGCCCTGGAACGCTGCCATCCACACAATCGCCAAGTTCCGGCCCGAGCAGTACTGCGCAGGAGCGCTCATCAGCGATCAACACGTGCTCACCGCAGCCCACTGCATTGAGTAAGCTGCATCTGTGATTCTTGAAAAACCTATATATCATCTTCATGAAAGGAATCTGAAATAAGGATCTTCAATATACGCTCAGGTGAAAAGCAGAGATTCTTTCAATGAACACTTGTAGGGCTTGCTCTAATAGCATATCCGGTACTCTCATATTTTTGTAGACGAAAAGCAAACAAAAACATATTTCCGCAAAAACAATGTATGAGACAGCACAGTGTGTGAATCAAATAGCGACAGAAATGAAGAAAATTGCTAACAAAATATGTTCAGAATAGTTCTGCATCAAGGTACAGCTACTTTATATCAAGGCGTCCACTCGGGTTTTCTTGTTCATGTTATCAAGTTTGTGCAGTAGGATTGCACTCTATACAATAGGCTTATTTATAAGGTGGCCTAAATATCGATCGAATTGGCAGTTCGCGTGTCCCGAAACGTTCCATTGTACGTGCGCTCATGTGTGAAATAGAATGTTAGGCTCTATTAGTTTTATGTGTCATGCTCCATTATGTAAGTGGCCTCTTAGTCTGATATCTGCTAGTACTACCGCGAAAGAATACAATGATATTTTGCATTAATCTTACATCTCAGGCCACGGAATAAAACATGAATCTGTCAGCTTCATTGGAGGTAAGGTATATGTTTAACCCGAATATTCCCCCATGTGATGTGATGTACTGCCTGCCCTTGTGGAAGGCGCCGCAAATTTTGTCTATCATGTGTTCTTTCACGTGCACCCACATAGCGCAGTGCACGGGTGCCTAGCCTGAAAATAATCTCAACCGCCATGGTCAGGATGAAGTCCATGATCAGCGGCAGCAGCGAAGCACCGTAGCCAGTGTATCGGCGTGGAGGACTGTTCCCAATTCAACAGTAGTAATAAATGCAGAGATATATTCGAATCCTTTTTTTTTTCACATGATGAACCCATGTCTATAGCATGAATATTTTCTTCACTCGCGCATGACTATCGCTATATTGACACTGTAGCTAAGCGAATAACTTTCGCACCTCTTTCAGCAAACGGACAAGCGATGGCATACGAGTCCACCTGGGATCATGGCGACGCAGCACACTCGACAAGGGCGAAGTCGCAATGTCCGTCAAGGAAATGTGCATTCACCGAACTATTCTGGCAGCGTAAGTTAACGCTTGTGATTCGTTGTTGTGACGAACCTTTTCTTCTTGGTACTGCACGCAAGCTTTCTTCGTTAACCAGTAAAAGTAGGGATATATATATATATATATATATATATATATATATATATATATATATATATATATATATATATATATATATATATATATATATATGAGATATAACAGACAGTAATAACAGGGGAAGTTATTATTAGAACCAATGGAATGTAAATAAGAAGAAAGAAAAGTGGATGAAAAAATCTGTCACTGTCAATCCTACTTCTAAATTCACATATAAACCCAAAAAGGTGGATGGAGGAAAGACTGCTGTGGTAGCTCAGTGGTTAGAGCATCGAACGCGTTATTCGAAGGTCGTAGGTTCGATTCCTGCTCACGTCTGGTTATTTTTTCATCCATTTTCTTTCTTCTTATTTACATTCCATTGGTTCTAATAATAACTTCCCCTGTACATTCCTTGGCATTACTGTCTGTTATACTCATTAATATTGTGTTAAAACACAGAAAAACGAGCCCTTAGGTATACACTTTTTTTCCGTATATATATATATTATATATAATATATATATATATATATATATATATATATATATATATATATAATATATATATATATATATGTAGGTTGTTGTTGCTATATATGCAATAGGTCCTTGTCTGATTGCTGAAGCACAGCAGTGCTTAGTAAACTCATTGCTCTAACAATAGTAACAATAACTGTGTGGGGGTTAACGTCCCAAACGCTACACTTTCTTTGAGGGATGCAGTAGTGGAGTCCTCCGGAATTTTCGAACCACCTGGAGTTCCTTAATGTCCACCTAATCCTACTTACACGTACCAGAAGCATTATCACCTCCATAGAAAACGAGGCCGCGTCATCCGAGCTTTGATCTCCATTCTGCAATAAAGAGAAGCACCTTTGACTATTTATAACCAACAAGTAAGAAATGGCCCCTGCACGAGGTGTGTTATTCCTTCTTTATTGGTTACAAATAGCCATAAAAGCCTAATATACAACATTCTCATGACATAATAAGATATCCACTGCTACCTGGTAGCAAAGGATACTGAAAAACCTTCTTGTGGGCGTGCTTCTTGTTCGTTTATTTTTTTAAATTAGTGCCCTAAGCACTTTTTTTGTTTGGTGTTCGCTTTTGCGCTCAAATTAACATAGGTCATGAAGTGGAGCCCACATTTTGGATTAAAACATTGTGTGAATTACTGGCTCATTGAGTAAGGTTTTTAGGGGAGCCGTTATTTTATTCAGTGCTGCGAGCATCGCGACTCGCCTTCTTTTGTTTAGCATGTGTGCCCACGCCTAACGCTCTTTCAGAAAAATGAAAATGTTTCTTCTTATTTTTTTATTTCACCTTCGTGTGGTACGTATACTACACAAACAACGTACAAAACTGGAATATAATTTTGTGAAAATAGTTCTTTCTATACCGCAGTATTCAGGCTGGCAGGATATCATCCAGAAAGTGGCCAGTTTTACATACTTGTATGCGAAATACTTCAACTGTGTATGCTAAGTTTTTATATTTGCAGAACAGGCTCATGTTCTGTAGTGTACTCTTCACTTACTTGAAACTTAGCAGTAATCAAAATATGTGCCACCAAGTAGAGCTTTTGAGCACATGATGCCTGGCATATCTACATGCTCATCATAATTTTTTTGGTGAGCAGTACCTGCGTTAGTCTACCTCTGCCTACACATTGTGTACACTGTAATTTGGTAAGTTTTTGCCATCACCGTTATGTTCAAGTACCTTCAAACTTATTATAGCCAAAGTTTCACCTTAGAATAGAAACAAATAGTCATAAAAGCTTCATTCTCTGTTATATAATTACATAATAAGGATCGACACAATATTCGACATCGCCTAATGGCGAGAGATATAAAAAAACGTGTTATCGGTTTTTTTTTCTAGTTCAGTTGTCAAAGCAGCTCTACTTCAACAATGTTCATATTGCAACGTACTTTTGTTGTTTATTTGCAGGCCAACGATATTGCCATCATAACTCTTGCACAGCCGGTGAATTTCACAACTGCCATTTCACCAGTCTGTCTCCCTTACCGAAAGGAAACTTTCCCAACAGACTCCGAGGCATACACGGCGGGATGGACAGCTAGACCGCGTATGTAACCTGCTTTGCTTGTTTGGTACTATGGTTAAGACACGGTGACTAGGGCATTCAACAAAACACTAAGTGTTAGTTTGGCGCACATTTATTGCAGTTGTATTAAGGTTCATGCGTGCAATGCTGTTTGGCAATCCTTGTGGAAGCTTCAATTTCTTTGAACAATGTCTCTTAGTTTAAGGAACCCTATATAGTTGTTATTTTCACAAATCCTAGTTATAGTTTTGCGCTGTCACCAATGAGAGGCAATATCTCAGTCATGGTGGTAAATTGGTTTTGAGCTCACCATAAGCCTTCCTTTCGTAATATCATTCTTACATGTCATCGCTTGCACACCTTCATCGTCTGTATACAACATTATCACCTGCACTACTTTATATTCGGGGTAGCTGTTCGAGCTCGGCTAAAACAGAGTAGTTCACTTGTTAGTGGCGGAGGTTGGGCGGGCAACGCAATATACAGCTTCGATACTGCAGCCGCCCAAATGGCATACGTGAATGCCGCTAAAGCTCTCACATACGATATTAGATATACTATCTCCGTACTCTTCCGCGAGGGTTATAAGTGTACCAAATATAACTGCTCCTCCTCTCTCTTCATGTGCACATAGGAAAGGGATACCGTCGCATGAGGAGATCCCTCAAGGAGCTGAAGCTGACTCTTCTGAGCAAGAACTCCTGCTTGAAGCACTTTGATATCGTTCTTGCCGACGACGTGCTGTGTGCGCCACATGATGGTGGCTCACTTTGCGAGGTAAGCTGTTTGAATACTTGTGTTTTTTTTATTACACGGTACAGCTGGTGCGTTTTGTGTTCATTCGGGCATTCAAATGCCAGTATGTTCATGCTCTAATTGCTTATATCCAAGCAATAGCATTTTCGTGTATCTGACGTGAGACACGCAGACAGGAGGATGCAGAGCGAAATTAAATATAACTGAGTGAGTGACAGAGGAACATAGCAATGTAGCAAATGGAACGAGGCTTCACAACTTTGTTTGAACTAATGTTTACATTAAATAAAAGCAAATGAGACAACCCAGAAAAACACGTTTGTGAGGTATGCACATCTGAACGCGTAAATGACTTATGAAAAACTTGAATTGTACTCGCTCTATTCGTGCCAACTTTATGCCTGACCGACCATTCCGAGCTGTTTTACGCAAAACTGGTGGCATACAAAGCTACAAGTGATCGTTTTTCCTTGAACAATAGGAGTATGGAACTCGCTGCCACACGAGCTTTTAACAAAGATCCGTCTCATTCGTTTTGAAACATTTGCTAACTAAGCTTCTCATTTCCACTGCAAGCACGTAGTTTCAATTTTACTGACAGCGACTTCTCCGATTGAAACATAGTTTCCTAGCTGCATTATATGTAGCAGCTCTGATAAAACTGATGACATAGTGATCGATATGTGCCGATTTCTCCTCTTGCTTCTATTGCACAATCGCACTGAATATCAAGTTCGACACGCAGGATCTACTCAAAATGACGCAAAAAATTGCTAAGTGGCATGTTCAGACAAAAAATCTGAATTAAACTTTCTCAATTAGCGGTACCACCCGACTCATGCAATTAACAGTTGTAGGTGTTTTTATTGCGGCTTGACGTCACTCTAACTACAGCCAGCCTGTGGCGACTTATATTGAGCGCGACTGCCCATTTTATTGTGTATCTGCCATATTTAGAATTGTTGCGGGTGGCGGCTGCCGTCTAGCTTTTACAAATATTCTTGCACGACCCTTCCGTAGCCTTCTGTCAACAGTATTGGTAAATTAACAAATGAATATATAAATACAATGTTTCAGTATGATCGCGTCCTGCATAGCGTTGTCTCTTCATGGCGTGTAGCACTCATACGTATAGTTCGCATTTGTCCCTCACTTACATCACTTAATACGCACCAATGACTGAATGCGGCAACCCGTGGTTCTCTTTGGCTCAGAGGTCGCAGGTTTAAGCTGCTCAGGTCCACGCAACTACCATCTCAAAATATGCCAGAGCTACTAAGATTGTTTTATGTCGAAGAACGCTAAATTATGAAATATGTTTTGTCATTCGCGTCGTATGCAACATCAAGGAATTCCGAATTCTTGGTTGCTTTCGTAATCTTCATATGAATTGTTCTATGATCAAATGATTGCTTTGTACTTGACTAACTATACCTGAGCTTTATCACATCGACTAAGCGTATCGTAGTGTCATAAACTTGGTAACGTGTCACAAATTATTTAATAATTTTCTCATTTTTATTCAAAGTAACAATCACCAGTTTATGGAACTCAATGTTGAACTATTTTACCACAGTACCATTTAAATAGAAATTTTTTCGTCTTTTTTACAGGGAGACAGTGGAGCACCTATTATGCAAAACATCGGGGGACACTGGTTCTTGCAGGGGGTTCTTTCAGGTGGTCCGCCTACCTGTGGAGACTCGACGCTGCCTATGGTCTTCACCCGAGTTGCTAGCTTCATGGAAAATTTCATCAATCCTTACTTCAAAGCCAAATCTCGAGATGCAAAGAAAAAGTTTTGCACCCTTAAGTGAAGGACCGAGGGCGTCCGTGGTAGCCGGAGGGCATGGAAACGCTACTCACAAGGACGGGAGAAGTGCCCGAATCAGTGCCATTTCACACTCCATTAATTAAGCCATCATTATTTATGCCGCGAAATTCATGCGCACCTTTTATTGCTCAACTTCATAACTCTCGTCACTTTTGTGAACCGTGAAAATGATTCACACTCTAGTCGAAAAACGCTTTGTTCTTTATTTATGCTCTATTGATTCAATTTCAAAATATTTATGCCTGCTCTTTTGTACATACAATACAAAGCACTTTGCTCTTGAGTTGATTCTAAGAGGACACGGATGTGAACTCGTTAATTGTTATTTTAAAGTAGGGCCATGCGCAAGAAATGAGAAAAATAAATGCTTAAAGCCCAATCTTTGCGTAGAGTTTAGCACAGCTTCTCATCACTGTACGCAAGATTATTTCTCAGACGATATTTCTCAGACGATAGTGCTCTTCAGCAATGACAGAGAATGCGCAAGTAGTGCTTTCATATGTGAATAAAGAAGATAAAATGTTGTGCACAGCCGCAACTGTCGGCTTTTCGTATTGATTTCGTATAATTTATGAGAATTTCTTTAACGCATAGGCAAATAAGGCCGTCGTAGATCACAAACAAAGTTGCATCATTGTTCACCACGTCCTTTAGTAAATATTTGTAGCAGCTTAGCGACGTCAATAAAACAACAAAAGAAGTGGTATATTCAGTGGAAACTAATAGCACATGAGTGCGTGATGCGAGCTTCAATACATGAAAAGCATTGGTATTCTTTCATTCAGAGTTGCGACAAAGCACGCATAAGATCTGACAGGTAACGGCAGGCCTGATAAGGTGTCGCAATATTTAGAAATGAATCATGACGTGTTCAACAATGTTGAAGACAATTGAGGTTATGTATGTGCAGAATGAAAGTGTACATTCGACATAAAGTGTAAATAAACGAAGTAGCAGTGCAAACTATTGTTGATAATAATGCTTCTGGGCAGGTAGCTGGTGTCTTTGGTTCAAGGCTTCTCTTATGCGGCTCGCTTAGCTTTGTCCACCAAAGCCAGCTAGGGCTCCCAATCTTTTCTAGCAAACGAGGCTTCTCACTGCCTTGTTCGAGATGTTGAGCTCAACAACATTTCGACATCAAACACAAAGGTTATGTTCAATCGTGCTCCACGAAAACTGCGACGCATGTACTCGAGAACCTGCTCCTGCAAGCTGTAGTTTAGGCACAAAGTTTTTTTTGCGCATCGTATATTTTATTTTCTTGACTTCAAAACAGCAAAGAAGCTAATAACTACTTAGGAAACATGGGGGAAAAAGCTGAGCGCATCATTCATACATTTCTTTACCTAGACTTTGAATCTATTCTACTGCAACATAAACACGGATGCCCAATTTAATCAGTTTTTTAGAACGAACAAACAGAGATTACAATGCCGTTTGATTTTTACTGAAGCTCGTTGGATCCTTTATCTATCCACGTTGTGCCATGTCATGCCGTGCATCCATGTTATGCCTTATGCATCCACGTTAGCATGTGACAACGCCACGTAACGCTATGCTGAGTGATCTCATAAATATATAACGTCGTGAGTCACTTACATGTAAGCGACGTTACGTTGAGTGACGTTACTTCATGACATTATGTTAAGTACGTCACATTATGTCGCCACTGTGATGTCACCTTAATTCACGTCACAGTGATGCCATGATGTCGTCACAAAGTTTGATTATCTGTGACATCACCTGGGGATGTCAGCACATTACAATGCCTGTTACATCACTCGTGTTGGCTCCGCCGGCGTGGGACACCAGTGCCCCGCCACGGTTGTCTAGTGGCTAAGCTGCTCGGCTGCTGCCCCGCAGGTCGCGGGATCAAATCCCAGCTGTGGCGACTTGACTTCGGTTTTATTTATTTATTTATTTGATTTACATACATATATACACAAGGGCACAGCGGAGAGGGAGAGAACAAGCTGGCGACTGCCACCTGGAGGGGCACAACGCTTGCTCACTCTTTCGGGGGAGGGAAGGAACAGAGGAATAAAAATAAGTGGGGAGAAAAAGGGAAGAATACGAGGAAGAAAAAACTTACGAAAACTAATAAATATAATAAAAACGTCTATAAATGGGTGGCCAGGTCCATTTGGTTCATTAAAGGAGAGCTTGGTGGGCCTGGTCGCGTCGGGAAGCACAACCACTCAGAAGTAGGTAGTCGTCTAGGGTCGCGCACTTGAGTCCTAAGAATGTATAGTCGTTAATCAAAAAAGATCGCTGCGTAGTAAATGTGGGACAGTGCACTACGAGAAACGCGAGTGTTTCGCAGGAGCCACATGCTGCGCACAACGGACTGTCCACATACCCTTGACAGTGTAATCGTTCACGCACCGGCACAGAGCGCACTTTTAGTTTGTACAACAGCGCTCGGAAACGACGAGGCAAGCTACGGCCACGAATACGGGGAGAGAACAATACATTCGCTACACGCTGGTCTGCGCACTTTTAGTTTGTACAACAGTGCTCGGAAACAACGAGGCAAGCTACGGCCACGAACACGGGGAGGGAACAATTCATTCGCTACACGCTGGTCTGGGTGCTGCTTTAGGACGTGTCGGCGTATAAGCAGACGAGCATTGTCCATGGTACGTAGAATTCCCGGACAATCAGAGCCATCATGGTTGCATGACGAACAAAGTGATCCACTTCTTCATTGCCCGCAATGCTTACGTGCGAAGGTACTCAATGTGCAGCTAGGCATCCCCGACGTAACAGAATATTGTCGATGGATTCCATGATGCTGCTTCTAGGGCAGCCGGTCTCCTTGCTGGTGAATATGCTAAGAAAACCCGAGAGTTGGTAAGGATGACAACCTTCGATGCAGGCAATTCTTCTTGTACGTACTTAAGGGCGACATCAATCACTGGTAGCTTGGCCGTCACCGATGATGAGAAGTGCAGTATTTTAAACAACCACGTGATATCGGTTGAAGGTCCGAAGAAAGCTGCAGAAGCGCTCAGGCTATCGCTGCGTACAGAAGTGTCTGTGTGTACTTTTGCATAGTAATCGAAGTTTTCAAATAGGTGTGAATGGGCTAATTGGTATAGTTCCAAAACAGGTTTGTCACACTTTTTGCGTATTCCTAAAATCGTCAGATGGGTAGGGAAGGCACATGGGCTGTGCTCTGTCGATAGCAACTTCAAAGGCGACGTAATATGTCTGCGCACAAAAAAATCAGTGAATTCTTTATTGAATTTTTGCGTGGTAGTGGCCTACTGAAAAGACTATAGCACCCCAGCTTACTTTCTTCTTTTCTCTTTCACGCGTTTATTTCGCTTTCCGCTTTATTTTACATCTTTACTCCTCATTCTCCTTTCCCTTCTGCAAGGTAGCAAACCGGATGCTTCAACTTCTGATTAACCTCCCTGCCTTTCCTTCCTTTTATTCTCGCTCTCTCGCTTAGCAATTCCATTGTTTTCCCAGATTTGCCAGTAATGTCATTGAACAAGGCCGCCATTTTACCCATCTGAAAAAGTGGGTGCTGTGACAACCTGTTAAGGAGTGTCTTGCCATCTGGAACTTGGTTCATATGCTCAATGTGATATAGCACTCTCTGGTCAGCTTACAGCCTCAGCGGCAACTGGTGTGATTCAGTCAGTAGTGGAAAAAATGTGGTTCACGAGGTAAACCAAACAGTACTCGGGGGACAACACGATAATCCCGTTCCAGCTCAAAACATTAAAGCAGGTGGTACATTCAAGACTGGCAAGGAATACATCACATAACAGAGTACAGCTGATTGGGAAACCTGTAGTGCTATCTTCTGATCAATGCCATCACCCATAGCAGTCAAGACGGCTACATACATAAACAGAGACAGTGATTTTCGCCTCGCAGTTTTAACAGCAGGATGCCAAGACAGGTGATCATCGACGACTACACCCAGGTATCAATGTTGGTGTGCCCACTGTATCGGTGTGTCTCCAATGTAAAGCCAGCTAAGGCTTCAACAAGTGCGTTGCCCTGGATGATACGCGATCGCAGCTGACTTCGCAGGGGAAACCTGCAGGACAACTTCCACCAAGTATTCTGAAATTGCATTCAGAGTTCGCTGCAATACACCACGAAGATGTGAACCATGGTGTGACGGACCACTGATTCAGAGTGCGATGTCATCAGAATAAATTGCAATGCCTATAGGAAAGTCACATTTTTACGGTAATCAGCCTGGAAGTACAGCAAGTACGCTGTTAATAAGAGGCGGTGACAAGACGCTGCCTTTCGAGACGCCACATTCAACAACTCGAGGTTCACTCTGTACTTCTGTAATGCGCACGGTAATTCTGCGCTCAGATAGAAAATCACGGAGAAAGTGTAACAGATGACTTTAAATTTCTCCATCCATCAGTGCACAAACAAATCCCCTTATGTTGTACCGAGTCGAATGCTTGCTGTATGTCAAGAATGTCTGTTTGCTCGAGCAGATTCAAGCAATAATACAAGATCTGCTATGCTATCGAGGGCTGAACGGTAGCGACAAAACCCACTCATGATATCATGGAATAAAGCGAGCTCCGGTAATCTCGCGATCAGACGAAACAGCACCATACGTTCCATCAGCTTCATAACATTAGAAGTCAATGATATTGGCCGTTATGAATTCAGGTGTTGTGCCTGGTGACCAGGCCTTAAAATTGGCTTCACCACAGACGATTTTCATTCAGCAGGAATCATACTGGTTTGCCACACTTTGTTGTATTCGTCTAGGATACATTGATGAAAGACCTCATCAATGTTTCGCAAGGCTTCGTATGTAACACCATCTTCGGCTGGGTCAGTGCGACAATAACAGAGGCTGAGCGCATGACGCAGCTTGGTCAGGGTACATTCTGCCTCACGCATCTCGCCTGGAGGCCCATATAAAATTGTTACGGAACAATGACTGGCGTTGTCTCTTGACATAAGGCAGTTGAACATATTGGCAAAATCTTCCGCAAGATTTTTTGTGGACCATCCAGTCATGATGCACAATGCTGTAGTTGGGTTCTTGCAGACCTCAGGTGCTCGGAGAGCCTTCAATATGCGCCATACCCTCCCAAAAGCACTCGCCATATGCAACGAGCTGCACGACGCGACCTAGCATCTTCAACAAAGTTTTTTGTGTGCCGCCTAATGGCTACATGTAAGTGGTTATAAAGCTTCCAATCAGAGCTTATTTTGGAACGTTGTGCCCTCCTGTAAGCACGGCGTCGACAAGCACGTAGTGTCAAGAGTTTTAGGTCAGGGATTGCCTTATCTATGTTTCGCAGTCGTCGTACTGTAGCTTGCTGTAGACATTCACTAACTAGTTCGAATGAGTGATCGTGTGATGGCGCCCCTGCTATCAGCTCAAGGAACTTGCCCCAATTCGTCACTGATTAGGCAGCACTCTGGCTGCAAGGAGAATTCTCTGGGACCAGCCAAATGGGCAGATCATCTGAACCCCATGGGTTAGCTTCGCTTGACCAAGTAATACGCACGTCTCTCGTTGGTATGGAAAAATCAATTGTGGATTGTTCCTTTCCTCTGCCAACAAATGTGGAGGAGCCATCATTAAGGGTCTGCATATCGTGTTTAACAATAAGCTCAATGATTACCACTCCACGATGGTCTTGTGGGCAACAGCACCAACGAGAATGACAGGCATTAAAATCTCCCCACAACAGAAATGACGGGCCACCCTCAGATAGCAGGCACTCCATCAATATGATGTATGCTTGCCACAGTCACTAACAAGCATATTTTGCTGGAGTGCCACAAGCACTTCAGCAAAATTTATGCTTGCCACAGTCGTAGTTGTGTTCGTGAGATTAATAGCAACTACTACACATTCAAAGTCGGCGTCGCACAGGTTACTTTCATCGATCACTGTGAAATGAACAGCAGATCGTATGTACCATGACGCTTTCGAAGCATTTCGTGGATG